GGGGGTTCCAATGGCCAGGGAGAGACGGTTGAGCAACAATGGTTTTTCCAATAAGAAAAATTACAAAAAAATGTTAGAATAACGAAAAGGGTAAAATAGTCATTTCACCTTGTATTTAACAAGGATAAGAACAATCATTAGTCCAAATGATCAACTCAAAAAACAAAATACAAATCTTGAGGGGTTTTCTACAATAAATAAAATTCAAAAACCAATTTCAAAATTTTGACCAAATTACGGGACCAAATCCGTAATTTACTCTTTTCCCATTTGTTCTTGGGCAACGGCTACATGAGATGCTTTTCCGTTACTTGTCTTCACAGTGGGACCACACGTGGATCTTTTTGCTAACTTACGCCGTAGTCAAGAATCTTGAAATTCATAGGATTTTCGTTAACTTATTCCGTTAATTATATATGTTTTTTTATAGTGACTTAATGATATATAAAACGGCTTATTCAGTAAGTTTATAGGGAGGTTACGCAAAAGAACCTAAGGGGTCGTTTATCAAAGACTTACCCGATAAATGCTTACTAGTAAAATTTAACATTATCATTATTTACCGGGTAAAATTTTGATCCACTAAAATGACATCATATGCAACAATTTATCTGACAAACGTTTACTGTGGTAAGAGTCGTCGCTCTCACTTACCGGGTAAAACTCTTGGTCTTTATCTCGCTCTTATCGGGTAAGATTCTTGGTCCATACCATACTAATTCAGTAAGGTAATATGACCGGGTAAGCGCTTACCCGAATAACCGTTTGATAAATGGCCTCTAAGTTTTTTTTTTTTTTCCAACGTGTCTCTCCAAATTAAAAAAAGATGCTCTTTCATTTATGAAAAAAAAAACTCTCACGAACAAAAATCTTATCAATTTGTATAAAAAAATTAATCTACACATGCAGTTTTATTCATATGGGGCGTAATAGAAAACCAACCAAACAACTCATAAGTCTTGATAGATTATATATAAAATCGACCAAAAAATTAAATATAAAATACCATTTTTAACTGGTATGTAAAAATCAGTTTTTCGATCAGCCAGCTTTAATCCTTTCGACAAACTAGTCAGCAAATTTGGCAGAAATGAAGAGACCGTCATATTCGGTGGTCGAATGTTCATGATTGCATTTTCGTATGATACGAGGGTTTTGGAGTTTTCTGTTTTCCTATGTAGTTGTAGACGTTTTGTGTTTTAGTGAGTATAGGAACGTGGGCCCACATTTTCTTGTTTTTTTAGGTTTGGTCGTGTGGATTAGAGTTGTAACGTAATGATGGGTTCAAGAGAGCGTGTTGATAAAAATAAGGGGAAGTCATCCAAACCATCGGTCTATTTAATCTGATGGCAATAAATAATATAAACGGTTATATTTTGCCAAAAATAAATCCATGATGATGAGGACGGTCACATTTGATATGGACATCTATTTTTAGATCTAGCGATCTCTTGTTTTCTACTACTCCCTGTGTAAATAAAACCATTATTAAGGGGTCGTTTACTAAACACTTATTCGGTAAGCGTTTATCGGTAAAATTAAATACTATCGCTTACTTATCAGGTAAGATTTTAGCCTACCAAAACGGTATTGTATGCAACAATTTACTGGTAAGTATTGACCGTAGTAAGAGTCGTCGTCCTCACTTATCGGGTAAGACTATATATTAGTTCTTGTCTCGCTCTTATCGAATAAGATTTTTGGTCTTTACCATCATTCATTCCGTAAGGTAACGTGTTTGAAATAGAAGTGGAAAAGGGAGTTAATAAAACAATAATTGAAGTCAAAATGATGGAATGCTTTGAACACTTCACATGAAGTTTTGTTGTCAACAAGAAAAGAATTGTGAATAATAAAATCATGATTGTTGTCTCTACCCATTTATTAATATACACATTTAATTAAAATTGGTGGGATATATTTTCAATTATGGAACACCACATCTTGACCATTTTGTTTGTTTTTAATATATATATATATATATATATATATATGGTTTATTTTGCAAATTACGTTATTTGTACAAACTATATAAACTTTATTTAACCAATCATAATTTATCATTTTCTTTATCTTTTTATAATTATGAGAGGTTGATTAATCATTTTTATTGTAAATGATATTGTCATCTTCATTATATTAATATTAGAAAAATACATAAAACAATTTCATTAAAATTTAATAAGTATTATATGAAATAATTTCATAACCATATATAAACAACTTTATCAATAAAAAAAATATTATATGAAACAATTTCATAAGACTAAACAATTTTATGAAAAAATTTCATAAGATTAAACAATGAAATCGACGGATGAGAGTGGTTTGCACGGTTTGTACAAATATGTGTGATTATATATATATATATATATATATATATATATATATATATATATCTTTGAACTCTAAAATTCAATTTTATGAATTTGACTTTAAAATCTATATATTTAAAAATGGTTTCAGAAGGAGCAGGTTTGAAAAATATACTTTTTCTGTGGACCTGAGTGAGAAATATAATTTTTTTTGCTGGTCTGGGTGAAAAATATAATTTTTTTCGACAGACAAGGATAGAAAGTGTAATTTTTTTTCTTTTAACTGAGTCTGCAATTGTGTAAGTGAGTTTTTATGGACCTATGACTATTTTGGTAAACTTGGAGAAAAAATGACTAGGAGGTGAAATCAACTCTGAAAATATATTTTTCTATTAATTTCCTTGATTCTTTTTGAAGAGTTTTGTCAAATTTAAAAATTTTCACTCTTTTTTCTACTTTCTTCATTTTGAAGAATTTATTAGAACAAAAAAATGGACCAAATTACTCAAAAATTTCATTTTCTCTATTTTTAAAAGTATTTTAAAATTATATTTTCTCTATTTTAAATAATTTGTTAGACATATTTTAACTAATATTAAACATGTTTAATACACACACACACACACACATATATATATATATAGGTTGAGGTTTAAATTAGAACGCTCTCATTTTATAGAAATCCGAATTTATCACATGTGATAATATATGTGAGGGGATTTGGTGGTATACGGACGTCGTTTCCTTCAACTTAGGTCGTGACGCTTCTCTAATCTAATATCACATTTGATAGATTATAGTATCACATGTAGAACATTTTTAGACGACTTGACCCACAACCTAGGTCGACTGCATCTCTGATTTAGTATCACATGTGTACCATATGATGAAATACAATATCATATATGATTGACTATAGTAAAAAAGTATCTCAAAACCAGTTCTTTTTTTTTCTTTCTATTTATCGGTTTTTCGGTTTCTTTAAACACCCTAATATTATATTGTTTTACAAGTTAAACTTAATTAGAAGAGAATCTTGTAGAGAAGTTGGACAACCAATCCAACAAGAGACAAACAAGTAACTGAAATTGGAATTTTAAATAGCAATGTCCAAATAGAAATGTCAAAAAATATATAATATTTAATTTATTTCCAAAATCACATGAATATTATTATAATATTTTATTATTTTTTATTGTTATTAATCATTATTTATAGTTTTTAAAATAACAAATGGTATAATAATAATAATGGTGTCTTCTCATTTTTATATTAAACCTGCAAATATGATACAAGCTTTTTGTTATTTTTTATGTAAGAAATTTTATTGAAGCTATTCTAAGATGTTTCGGTTATTTAATTGTTATATTTACTATTTAAATGAAGTATAAGTGTAAAAAAAGAAAAAAAAAACAGTACTGTTTTGTATCAGTAGTTTTTTCATATGAAAGAAACATTCAAGGGATTTGTCATTTACCTTGTTGATAGAAAGACAGTCGTGCTTAATCGATACTGATGGTTATGAAATTACCCCAATGTCACCTTCTTTTTGGTTGATTATCATATTAATTTTGTATTCTGACAAAGCTTAACACTTGTACTGTATCTGAACATAACTATCAGTTAATTATCAATTGTTTTTATAAAGTTTTAAGAATTTATACATACGAGGGAAGGTCATTTAGCAACCCAAAATTGGTTAGAAACCCAGAACCGTTCACAGAGCATCATATCTCCTTCTTCTTTATGAATATTCATTATGAAAAATAACACGTCGATATTCCTGATGAATATGTAATATGTCATAGTTCCCGGATTTGTAACCAATTTTAAATCATTAACGAAACTTGCCCCTTGTATGTATACAATAATAAATTGTGTACTTGCTTTTTTCTTTTGAAAACATAAAGATAATACGTTGCAATATAAATATATCAGTAAGAATATATATATATATATATATATATATATATATATATATACATATATAAAGTTGAGAAAGTACAAGAAACACCGAACTTTTACAACAAAAACACTATTAAATAGTCTCACGAAAACAATCTGGTATCACATGATTCCAGACATGTATTTATGTATATTTAGGAATAGATTCAGGAAAAACCTAAAAAAATAAAAATTTGAAGAACACCCTAGTAACCGTTCATCTGGACCTTATATACATATGAATTCAAATAATTTGTAAACAATTTGTTCGGTATGCATATATATGTAACATGCATACATACATAAAAACCAAAATAGAGCTTCAATTATTTAAATATATATAGATATATACATACCGTCTAAATGAACAATTATCATAACGTTTCTCAGAAACTCATTGTATATACTGAAAATCAAAATTTTAAAAACCAAAGTTAAATTTTTTGAAATAATATATATATATATATATATATATATATATATGGATTAAAATAAAAGAGAATAAAATTATTTATAGAAATATAATAAATATATATATATATATATATATATTCTCTCAATCCTGAGGTGGACCCCACTTTTGAAATATGTGACAAAGACGGCAGTTTTCTCCTCTGACCTCCTCCTCTCCTGCTCTACTTGTTCTTTATTTATTTATTAATCCCCTCCCCCCCCCTCTCTCTCTCTCTAGAAAACTTGTTGAAGAGAGAGAGAGATTTTAAAAATAAGAACATGCCATTTTTCTTTCTTTTGGGTCTCTGAATTCTCTGCGTGAAGCAACAAAAGTCTTCTCTTTCACACCTCTTTCTCTCAACTCCCATATGGTTTTTTAACAATCATCTTCTAGGGTTTTCACATCCCTCCTCTTCTTCAATGGACATCTTTTCCTCCTTGTTCCCATATGGGTTTTCATCATCTTCCCATCAATTCAGCCATAATCTGATTCACAGAGGGTAAGCAGTTGATGTTTCATCCTAAAACCTTTCTTTTTTGATGGCTTATCATCTGTCAAATTTGTAGTTTTTTTTTTTTATTGGTTTGGAGTGTTCATCTAAAAAAAAAACTAAGTGTCTTGGGGTTTTTTGTTGGAATTTTTATAATATAAGTTTGAGGGGAGATATGGAGGAGGTTGAAGCTGCTAATAAAGCTGCTGTTGAGAGTTGCCATAGAATTCTTAGCTTGTTGGCTCAGCCCCAAGATCAGGTTCAGTCCAAAAACTTAAAGATACAAACAGGGGAAGCAGTGGTTAGATTCAAGAAAGTTGTATCTCTACTTGATAATGGCTTAGGTCATGCTAGGGTTAGAAAGGTCAAGAAATTTTCAACCCATATCCCTCAAAACTTACTAATTGACAACCCCACCAGAATCATCCCCAGAACAGATCACCAAAACCCACCAAAACCCCTTCAACTTCTCCTTGAGGCTCACCCAATTCAAGAAATTGGTCCAAATGCTGTTAAGAACAACACTCTTTCTTTAGGGAACCATCAACCTTCACTCGAATTGAGCTCTAATGGGAAGTGTTCCATCCAACTTTCCCAAAATACCCCTCACCACCACCCTTCTTCTAACTACCATTTCCTTCAACAACAACAACAACAACAACAAAAGTACCAGCAACATGTACAGCTGAAACAGCCGCAGGCTGAGATGATGTATAGGCGTAGTAATAGCGGAATTAACTTGAATTTCGATAGCTCCACTTGCACACCCACAATTTCATCCAATAGGTCTTTTATGTCTTCATTGAGTATTGAAGGGAGTGTAGCTAATTTGGATGGGAGTTCTTTTCGATTAATCGGGTCATCTCGTTCGGCTGATCAAGCCACATATCAACACAAAAGGAGGTGTTCTGCTAGAGGTGATGATGGAAGTGTGAAATGTGGGAGTTCTGGTAGATGTCATTGCTCCAAAAAGAGGTTAAATATCATACAATTCTACAAGTTTGAACTAAAATCTGTTCATGGGGTTATCAGTTTTCGATAGTTTAAACTACTAACTATCTGATTTTGTTTTGTTTGATCAGAAAACATAGGATTAAGAGGTCAATCAAAGTACCTGCTATTAGTAACAAGCTTGCAGATATCCCTCCTGATGAGTATTCTTGGAGGAAATATGGCCAAAAGCCTATCAAGGGTTCTCCTCATCCAAGGTACTTTTGTTTTGCTTCAAAAGGTTGCAAAATCTTGTGAATTGAGAACCCCAAATGAATCTTTATTTAAGAAATGGTATGTGAATTTGCGTAGTTTAGTGGGTATGTGATAGTTGTGATAGAGATGACAGCAATAGAAGAAGAAGAAGCCCAAACGGTCCTTCAGAAATTAGAAGAAGGGATGAACTTGATTCCATCTTGTTTCATATTCTTGATAATATGATTAAATTTGGTCTTGATGATGAGACTCTTGCGATGTTCATATCCGCAAGAAATGGCCTTTTTTCTACCACAAAAGTTGGAACTTTAAGAGTCTTTACATGATCATACACTAGAATAGCCTAAACTATGAGCTACACACCAAATTTTCAGTTCTTTGGTTAAATGACCTTCTGTCCGGTTTCTTTTAAATCCATGACCTTCAGACAAGTTTGAGATTGTCACTGGTTTAACAGAAGAATATCACTTTCATATATAAGAATGCCTAGAAATATGTCAGAAGATCATGGATTTGAAAACCACTTGTTTGGAGGTCATTTAGGGCTGTTTGGTTGGTAGTTATCTGTAGGGATAAAGTTGTGTGTATAGATCGAGAACGTTGTTGTTTGGGAGGAGCAGGTTTTGGAAAAACTTGGCTTTCTGCATAAAGATCCTCCGTAGAAGCTTACTGAATAACCCGCTTTCTATATCATTAAGCCACTATTCAAACGGTCGTGTATAACTGACTGAATAAGTTGCAAGTCCCATTAAGCTCAATAAGCTGCTAACAAACATCCCTTAGCTAAATAAACCCAATTTTATGCTATTCTTGAAACGGGTTTCTGCGTATTTGACTCAAACGCGTTTATGAACAGGGGTTATTATAAGTGCAGCAGCATGCGAGGCTGCCCGGCAAGAAAACATGTGGAGAGGTGCTTGGAAGATTCAACTATGCTTATCGTCACCTACGAAGGTGAACATAACCATCCAAGGTTACCTTCTCAATCCGCAAATGCCTGAAAAATCTTGATATAAGTTAGTCTCGTGTTACCTGTTGTTAGTGGAATCTTTCTTTGATCGGCTTGAATTGCTCCTGTATATATATTTAACGGGGTTTAGGGGATTTTTGGAGCTAGAATTCGGGCTTTTATAAAACAACCTTTTGAGGGTTCAGGGAGGCTAGCTTGATCAAACCGTTTCGTGATGCTGTAGGGGGTTCGTTTAATCGTTATGAATGGTCGTTTTCGTTATTCTTTCTTTCTTTCTTTTTCCTTTCAGTTTGACTAGATTAGTAGTGTAGGTTGTCGTCTTTCGGGTAATTCGGGTCTGTGATCGGCTAAAACGAGTCACCATTGTTGAATGTTGGATTAACTTGAAGAAGGATGAAAGAACTTTGATGGTGCAAATTGTTGATTTTGATTTGTGATTCCTTGTATTATCTTGATTAATCAGTGGAATTTGAGTTTATGGGTGGTTGTAATTGTGTAGAATCTTGCTATATTTGGAAAGTTTTGCTGGGTTGAGTTGGGTTATGAATCTAAATTTGGAAATATTGAATTGGGTATCATTTATTTGTTGAAAGATGGCTAAAAAATCTATCTTTTTTTAATTGAGAGTGGGAGGTCAATAATGGGTGCTCTATTTTGTCAAAAAATAGGTTCTTTGGAACAAAAAGATGACTTTTACGTCACATTCTTGGAATTTATGTCACCATCATTGGTTAATGGGATGGAGATGGGGATGGGAGTGTGTGTGGATGCATTTATTATGTTGCAACACAAATATTTGAGTATTATTCTTGCTATATGTTTGGTCAAAAACCAGACCGATCCAATCCAACGTTAAATAACTTAACGGGATGTCTAGTTAAGTTGTAAAATCTTTAAGTCGTTGGTATTGGATTAGAATTGAGTTATGGTCATTTGAATTTGACCTAACCCGATGAACCCAATATTTTTTTACTTCTTAATTTATGGGGTGTTTGGGATTGCTTATTTAAAACAACTTGTGCTTTTTGTAAAAGTGTTTATTAACTTATGTGGTATCAAACCAGAGTTTTATAAAAAGTGTTTGGATTAGCTTATAGCGGTACCAAAAGATAATATGCTGATAAGTTGTTTTTTAGTGTTTGGTAAACTTTGCTTATATATGTAAAATGACAAAAAAGAACAGTCTTCCATATTATTGACTTATGGGAGTGTTTGAGATTGCTTATTAACTTGTTTGATTTTTTAACATGTAAAATTTTATTTTTCATCATTTATAATAAAATCTTTGACAAAAATTTATATCAATAAGATTAATAATTAACAAACATTAATAAAACAAGGTTAAAATGGTAAATTGGTAATAAGCAGTTTTTAATAAGTCAGGAATGATTAACTTATCAAAAACTGTTTATTACCGGTTTGGCACCGGTATAAGCAGTTTTATTTTTTCTCATTCAAACACTAGCAATAGCTTATCACCAGTGTCAAACTGAAATAAGTCAAAAAACATCTAAAATAAGCAATCCCAAACACCCCTTTAATATGATTATTAAGACCCCTTTAATATGTATATTAGACAACTACACCATTACGTACCCTCTTCTTATATATATATATATATATATATATATATATATAGTCTCTTTTCCATCTTTATATTACTCTTTCATAGGGGTGTATGTGTGTGTATATATACACAAATTGAAAAAAGTAGTTGAATATGATATACTTATGATTTAAGGAGTATGAATAAACTATATCAAATAATTGATGATGAAAAAACAATCATGAGTAGAGAAAACAACATATTCAAGGTTAGGAAAATGTTTTGATGTACCAAAGTATCAACCGTAAGACTGCACATGGGTTGGGTTGGCCAGGTTAAAGACGCTTAAACAATCCAACCCAATGTTTGCGGTTTGAAATATCTCAACCCAACACAAACAAAACCACAACCCAACCCAAAACGTACATGTTCGATTGGGTTGGTCAAATTGATCGAGTTTCAAACTTTGGTACATGATTTTACAAATCTAGCTAGACACATGTATTTAAACAAAGTAAAATAAAAATGAAAACATACAAAAAAGACTAGCTAGGCATCTCTGTTTAAATGAAGTAAAAAAAGTTGAAAGTTTATGCAAATAAGAAAGTAAATTATGGTTGAAATTGTAATATAATTTTGAATATAGCTAATTACGGATTGATCTAATGTCTAATATGCATATATAAATCAAAGTTACCAATCATATTAAGGCTATATTTGGCAAACTAGCTGATAACCGATAAAACTAGTTGTTAACTTATAAAAATGACTGATAGTTGATAAACTAACTGATGAACAAATCATGTGTTGACAAAACTAATACAAACAAGATGGAAAAAAAATTAAAAAAAGTATAATATATTGATGGAAAGATTTTAAAATGATTATTATATATATTATAATATTTGGATTTGTTGAAACAAATTTAAGAAAAAATCTATTTTTATGATTTCAAATAACCATTACATATAATATGAATAAAAATAAAAATCGGTCTACTTCACATATCCTAATTAATTAATAATTAATAATCAATAACTAATTAATATTAATAATGTTTAAATTTTATTAATATTTATTTATAACTAATACTAATAAATGACAATTCATATTAATGGGGGTTATAATTGAAAATGATGACAATAAGTTATCAAAATGCTACTCCAAGTAGCGTTTCAATAAGCTAACTTATGTGCCTCCAAACATATATTCATAAAATAAGCTAGCTTATTTTTGCCAAACAATATCTAAATTCATAGCATAGAAGGATATCGGGTTGAGTTGAGTTCAAATTATCCTAGTTCCAACCGAATAAATGTTGTTTAGTCTATTTTCGTACCAATTATGTGTCGAGTTATCTCGGGTTGATCTATTTTGGGTTTTTTGGGTGGATTAGGTTGATCGATTTTTTGAGCATCCCTAATCAACCCAACCCAATCCATGAATAATTTAAAAAATAATTAATATTTAATAATATGAAATATATTTAATAATAATTAAAAATAATAATAATAATAAAATAATTGATATGATTTATAACTATTGTAAATAATTAATGAATAATATTAATGTATAATGTTTAATATATAATTAAGATTAATTTTTAATTTATATTAGTTAATAATTAATATTTATTAATATTTATTTACAATTAATTGTAATAAATAATAATTAATATTAATGAAAGTTATAATTGGAAAAAGTGACAATAAGCTGCCAAAACGCTACTTCAAGGCATTGTTTTAATAAGCTAGATTATGTGTATTCAAACACGTACTCATAAAATAAGCTAGTTTATTTTTGGCAAACAATGCCTTATTTATTTTAAGACTGAAGAAATAAACAATTTTAGAATAACTAGAAAAGTGTTCGCGCAATGCCGTGAGACACATCTCGATTTTAATGTTTAATTTTATTCCTTGTCTCTGTCGATGTTATAATACAATTTTATGTGTTTTTAAGTAATATGTATTAATAAACAGTACTTACGCACAATCTACTTGTAATATCAAGTTTTAAGTAATATGTATTAATAAACAGTACTTTACACATAAAAAATGGTTTTTAAGAGTTTTTATCAAATGCTTTATAATATAGTATAGATTTTTAGTTTTTATACAATAAATATATAAAGTGGGCTATAATAGCCCATTAGCTATATCCAAATTCCAAACCCATTAGTCCATCAATATGCAATTATGCATATTGGATATTTTATCCCCCTACGGCCTACTGTATTGGATTTGGACCATTAAAATAGGACAACCCAACCCATAATCTTGCTAAAGGCCCAATTCCAATGGCAAAATAGTCTTTTTATCCTAACTAAATTGGAAAAAAGTTATATGAATTCATCAAACACCGTGTAACAATGTGAATTAGGATTGCATGATTGATCCAAAATAGTTAAGAGTAAACTATAAATTTGGGCCTTTTGGTTTGTCAAAAATAACACTTTTTGTCCCTGTAAATTTCGATATTTACAAGACAACTATCGTGGCTTGTAAAAATATCTGAATATGGTTCTTGCCTTTAACTGTAAAAGTAAAGAACAAAAAATAGATGAAATAAAGAAAATTTCCCTCATTTAACTGAAATTTTTAACGATCGTTAGAAGGACTAAATCCTGACATTTTTTTAAACTACAATGGCCATTTTGTAATTTTAAAATTACAGTAACACAAAGTGTTAGCTTTGGCAAATCACATAGACCAAAATTTGTAGTTTACTAAAATAGTTATTTTTATGGCTTCGGTTTCATGAGTAGTTGAAATTAACAAAAACCGTTAAATTTTGTTATACTACACAAGTTATGATGAAGGATATTTGTTCTTTTACCCTCTTTTTCAACCGCTCATGTTCTTCCACTGTATCTATCAATTTTTGTTAACGGTGTTAAAAAAAAACCATACAACTGCAAACTAAACCATAGCAGATAAAAAAGGTTAATCGAGCAATGTGGGTTCGTTTCGGTACAAAAAAATTTGATGATTTACATCGTATGATTTTGTTTAAGTTCTTTGAACAAAATACTTCTAGATGCAAACTCCCTTTACTTTTGGGGTTTGAAAGTCTAACGTTTAATCTTTATTACGATCGTGTTGTTGATTTCAGTACGAAACTTGAATTTTTTTGGGTAACGACAGGTATTTGGTTCAACTTATGCATATCGACTGAACCCCTGGGCGACCACATTCAGATCATTATAGCCCAGTGAACCTCCATGGCTACAATGGTTTTGGTATGTCTGGATTCGAACCCATAAAATATTAGATTTCTACTACATCCCCTGAGTTTTAACTAGTGCACTACAACCTAAGTGGTTATATAGAATTTGATTTCAATTTATGATGGCGATTCTCTCTCCCTCTACATTACTGTGAGTAGATAACTGAAGCACTGGACTCTAATAACAAAGAAACTGCTAAAAAACCTAAAATTCCAAGTTGTAGTCTATGGCCTCCTAGGAGGTCATAGGTTCAAAGCTCACTAGAGGTGAGAAGGGTGTGTAAGTTTATTTGCTGTATTTGTCATATATAAATATTATATACTTCAAAAAATAATGTAATGTTGGTTCACTTATGTTGAGTTAACACTAGAGTGTTTGTTCACATTGTGAAATGTGAAACAACATAGTGTGCCTAATTTAAAACAATTATATGTTATTTTGTAATGAGAAACAATACAAAAATTAATTCAGTTGAAATATTTTTTCTTTGTGAAAGTTGCAACAATCTCACAAAAATAACGATATTGATGTCAAATTAAAAAGAACGAAATAATTAGGGGTCATTTACCAAATGTTTACCCGGGTAAGCACTTACCAAGTCACATTTACCTTACCAGATGAATATTGCAAGACCAAGAATCTTGTCTGGTAAGAGTGAGGTAAGA